TGCTCCCTCAGCAAGTTTGCCGACGATACCAAACTGGGTGGAGTAGCTGATAGCCCTGAGGGCTGTGCTGCCATCCAGAGGGACCTGGACAGACTGGAGGACTGGGCGGCGAGAAACCTCATGAGGTTCAACAAGGGCAAGTGCAAGGTCCTGCACTTGGGGAGGAATAACCCTGGACACCAGTACAGATTAGGAGTGGACCTGCTGGAGAGCAGCCCCACAGAGAGGGACCTGGGTGTCATGGTGGACGACAAGTTGACCATGAGGCAGCAGTGTGCCCTGGTGGCCAAGAAGGCCAACGGGATCCTGGGGTGCATTAAGAAAAGCATCTCCAGCAGGTCGAGGGAAGTGATCATCCCCCTCTACTCAGCCCTGGTGAGGCCACATCTGGAGTACTGTGTCCAGTTCTGGGCTCCCCAGGACAAGAGGGATGTGGAGCTGCTGGAGAGAGTCCAGCGCAGGGCTACCAGGATGATCAGGGGCCTGGAACATCTGCCCTGTGAGCAAAGGCTGAGAGAGCTGGGCCTGTTCAGCCTGGAGAAGAGGAGGCTGAGGAGCGACCTGATCAGCGTGTATAAATACCTCAAGGGAGGCAGTGAGGAGGAGGGGGGCGGCCTCTTTTCAGTGGTGGGCAGGGATAGGACTAGAGGAAATGGCTTCAAACTGAAGCATCGGAAGTTCCACAGGAACTTAAGGAAGCATTTCTTCACTGTGAGGGTGCCAGAGCCCTGGAACAGGCTGCCCAGAGAGGTTGTGGAGTCTCCTTCTTTGGAGATCTTTAAAACCCGCTTGGATGCAGCCCTGTGCCACGTGCTCTAGGTGACCCTGCGTGTGCAGGGGGGTTGGACTCGATGTCCTCTGAGGTCCCTTCCAACCTTGCGCATTCTGTGATTCTGTGATTCTGTAAACACACGCAGTGTGGGGAATAAACAAAGTGCACTGGAGATCAGTGTGCAACTGCAGGGCCATGATCTCATTGCAGTTACTGAGACATGGTGGTAGAGCTCTCATGACTGGAGGTACAGCTCTCATGACCGGAATGTGGCCTTGGAGGGCTTTAGGCTTTTTAGGAAGAACAGGTCAGGAAGGTGAGGTGGTAGAGTTGCTCTTTTCGTGAGAGAGCAACTGGAATGTATGGATCTCTACCTAGGGGAGGATGAAGCATGAGTCAAGAGCCTGTGGATGCAGATTAAAGGGCAGGCCAACAGGGATGACACTGTTGAGGGAATTTATTATAGGCCTCCTGATTAGGAAGAGGGAGTGGATGAGGCCTTCTACAGGCAGTGGAAGAAGCCTCCTGATCACAGGCTCTGGTCCTTATGGGGGATTTCAACCAATCACATGTTTGCTGGGATGAGTACACAGTTAGGAACAGACAGTCCAGGAGGTTCCTGCAGAACTTTGCAGATAACTTTTTGACGTGAGCCAACAAGGGGAGAGGGCTGCTAGACCTGGCACTAACAAACAGAGATGGTCTAGTAGGAAATGTGAAGACTGGGGACAGTCTTGGCTGCAGTGACCCTGAGATAATGGAATTCAAGATCCTGAATGGAGGAAGCTTGGCAAGAATTTGGATTTCAACTTTGGACTTCAAGAGACCTGACTTTGACATCTTCAGGTAGCTCCTTGGAGGAATCCCCTGGGTCAGGGTCCTAGGAGGAGAAGGGATCCAGGAGAGCTGACTAATATTCAATATTTCCTCAAGGTCAGGATCAGTGCATTCCTACAAGAAGTTGAGCAAGGAGGGCAGGAGACTTGCGTGGATGGTAAGGAAGTGTTGGGTAAACTTAATGAGAAAAAGAGCACATATATAATGTGGAAGAAGGGCCAGACCACATGGGAAGAGTATAGGAACATTATCAGAGAATGCAGGAATGAAATGAGGAAGGCCAAGACCCATACGGAATTAGAGCTAGCAAGAGATGTTAGAAACAACAGGAAGGGCTTCTAAAAATTCATCAGCAGCAAGAGCAGGACTAGGAAAAATGTGAGCCTGCTACTGAACAGGGCGGGCCTTGGTGTCGGAAGATGCAGAGAAGGCAGAGTTACTTGACAGAGGATGCAAAGACAGCCTTCTTTGCTTCTGTCTTTGTTGCTAACGCTGGTCCCCATGAACTACAGAGCCTGGATATAAGAAAGAGAATGAGGAGAAAGGAAGACTCTCTGCTGGACAAGAAGGATTGGATTAGAGATTGTTTAGGCAAACTAGGAACCCATAGATCTACAGGCCTAGATGGGATGCATCCAATGGTGCTGAGGGAACTGGCAGGGGTTATTGTTTAGGTGCTTTCTATCATCTTCAAGAGGTCATAGACAGTGCAGGAGTGAGGGTGGACTGAATGGTGCCAGAGGGCTGGAAGAAAGCCGACATCACTCCAGTTTTCAAAAAGGGCAAGAGGAAGAACCCAGGAAACTACTAGTCAATCAGCTTCACCTCTGTCTCTGGAAAGGTGATGGCGCAGCTTACCCTCAAGATCATCTCTAGGCATGTTAAGGAAAAGATGATGATCAAGAGTAGTCAACATGGATTCACCAAGTGGGAGTCATGTTTGATGAACCTGGTCGTCTTCTACAATGGGATGACTGGTTGGCTGGATGATGAGAGAAAAGTGGATGTTGTCTGCCTTGACTTCAGCAAGGCTTTTTATATCATATCCTATAACATCCTCATGGGGAAGTTCTGGAAGTGTGTTTTAGATGACTGGACAGTGAGATGGTTGAGAACTGGCTGGATGGCAGAGCTCAGAGAATGGTGATAAATGGGGCCGAGTCTAGTTGGAGGCCTGTGGCCAGTGGTGTCCCCCAGGGGTCAGTACTGGGCCCAGTACTGTTTAGGTTGTCATCAATGACTTGGACGAGGGCACAGAGTGCATCCTGGGCAGGTTTGTGAACAATATCAAACTGGATAGAGTGGCTGCCATTCCAGAGGGCTGTGCTGTCATTCAGAGGGCCCTGGACAGGCTGGAGGGTTAGGCAGAGAGGAACCTCATGATGTTCAACAAGGACAAGCACAGGGTCCTGTATGTGGGCAGGAGTAAACCCAGGCATCAGTACAGATTAGGAGTTGTTCTGCTGGTGAGTTGCTCTGCAGAGAGGGATCTGGGGGTCCTAGTTGACAACAAGTTAACCATGAGGCAGCAGTGCCCTCATGACCAAGAAGGCCAATGGGATCCTGATTGTATCATGAGCAATGTTGCCAGCAGGTCCAAAGAGGGAATCCTGCCCCTCTCCTCAGCCCTAGTGAGGGTAGAATGTAAAGAGGATGGGACCAAATTCTTCTCAGTGATGGCCAGCAACAGAACAAATGATAATGGTTATAAATTAAAAAAAAAAAAAAAAAAAAAAAAAAAAAGGAAATTTCATCTGCATATGAGGAAGATCTTCTTTACTATGAGGTTGACAAAACTCTGGAACAGGCTGCCCAGAGAGGTTATGGCATCTCCTCCAGAGATCTTCGAAATCTGCCTGAATGCAACCCTGTGCCATATGCTGTAGGTGTCACTGCTTGAGCAGAGGTGTTGGACTAAATGATCTCTGGAGGTCTCTTCCAATCTCACCCATTCTGTAATTTTGTGGTTCCTGTGCTCATTTTTTCTGAACTGACCCACAAGCTGTTCTGAAAGGACCCACAGACTCACCAAAAACCAGTGTTTAAGCTGCTCCACCCAGACACCAATTCACATAATTTGTTTGGGGAAATAAATCCTCTCATGTCTCCACTTGTGCCCCTAAAGTAACTCAGTTTGGACCTGTGATGCTAGATTAGACTGGTAATATTGATATCATCAGGAAAGGGAAAGAAAGAAAAAGAAAGAGAGAGAAATGAGAAAGAAAATAACCATTCTGTGAAGAGTCCATAGAGAATGCAGCTACATAACCAGCCATCCTGTTGGTGTGAAGAGCTGTATTCATGCTTCCTTGGTCTCAAGATTAAAAATGTGCCTTATACTAGGCAGAAGACAGTGTTTCTTTTTGGACTGTTCTTCAATAACTCTTGAACAAACATTTTTGGCTACTTTTTTGTGTATTTGAAGAAAAATCCTAGCAAGAAAAGAAGTGTGTGGATTATTTAGCATTATAATATTCCTTCCATTATAAGCACAACATTTTTATGTAGAAATGTCAGTAGATACAGGAATACAAAATGGGCAATGTTTTCACATTGTTAGGGAAATTCTATTATGTTTTGATCAACCTTGAAACATAGAAAAGTCAATGTTACATACTGAAGGACTGTGGTTTAACTTGGTTCATGAAACCTTTTCTTTATGAAAAGGCTACTATCTTTAATGTGTTTGTTTTTCTACCATTCTAATTCTGTTGTGAATTGAAGAGTATATAGTATATGATCTATGTAAATCAGAAATTATTTAGCCACAAATGTATTCTTTAGGAAATTGAAACTTTTGTTATCTGGTGAAAGGAAAAAGATATCTGTTACAACAGTCCAGCTTGTGATATGGGAAAATCGAGAACCTCTGCTGTCATCAAGGTTTATATTACGTTTTTATTTGCTGTTGTAAGTTTGGGTCAAAAAGAAAGTGAAAAGCAAAGCTTACATCATTTTAATCAGTCAGCACTAACCAGTATTGTGATCTGTAGGAGTGCAGAATTTCGTATTGCTGTATCCACCATCAGCCTAGTATTTCCACAAGTAATTTGCAACCAGTAATCTAGAGCTTGCCAGGATCTTTGTCAGGTCAGGAATTACATTCGGTATTTTACATGTAGAGAAATAAGACATCAAAAATTTAACAGTCTTGTTCTGGGATTACAAAGTCAGGTTGTCATAGGCTTGTAATGAGATCTTAGCTCTTAAATCTCAGAACCTGTTTTAATGACAAATTCATCAGCTTCATTTTTAGGGATGTAGGGATGTGCAGGAATGGGGGGAGGAGACACCTCTTCCACATTCAGCTGGAGTATAGTAAAAAAAATTAAGTTAATATGAAGTCAAATATCTCTTATAAATGTGACTCTTTTAAATAAACCACACTACATGCCATTAAAATTTATTACTGCTCATTAAAAATTATTTGTCACAATGCACATTTAATTATGATAAAAAGTATTCAGTCGAGAATAGCACTTTGTTTTACAGTTTTCCTGGATTATCAGACATTCTTGATACCAGTGTTCTTTTTCATACTCTATGGGAAAAAAATCAGTTTTGGCATTTTGCCCCTCTATTATGATCTAGCGATGATTCTCCACAGTCTGGATATTAAAGAAGGCTCATCTAGGATCTGTTCTTATTTCTGACTGGAACCACGGAAGAGGAAGTTGCCCCAAGACACAAGCGAGAAGTTGGACGTCCTGTTCCTTGAGAAGAGAAGAAAAGAGAAGAGGAGGGAAGAGGAGGAAGAGGAGAGCAAAGGGAAGGAGAGGAGAGAAGAGGAGAGGAAAAGGCCAAAAGAACAAATTAGTCAAAAAGACCATGGAGAAAAGGAACAAAAAGAAACTAATGTAACTTTCCAGGAGGCCTGAGTAATTAAAAAAACATACAATGTAAAATTCGGTATTCAAACCTAATCCACAGTGTTATCTTAAAAAAAAAATCATGAAAGTTTCTGCTTTCCATTAAGAATAGGAGGAAAGTAAACCTACTCATAGTGCAAAGTGTTGTCGAACCTTTGGCAAGCTGTTAATTAGAAACTGAACTCAGTTAGACTTACTTCTCATGAGAAAGCAAACTAAACATGAGCTTCAATAACATTTGTCCTCTTTGACATGCAAGCTAGATATCCTAATTATTGAGTCTGTTTTGGCATAAAATACCACTGTACAGCAGTTCTACTTTTGAGAGCTTACTGTCCTAAACAGCTTGTTCAGTGTCAGTCATGTTGAATACTTAAAAAAAAAAAAAAAAAACTAATATTTTCCCACCTTGACTTGCTGGTTGTAAAGCCTCTCAAAGATGAGCAGGATTGTGTTGTTTGTTGTTGGAAATTCTAGAAAATGTTTCAACAGCTGGAATTTTCAGGTTTTAGAGTAAGGCATCTTTGCTAACCTTGCACTAGGGATCCAGTGTTTGTCAATACATCATTTTCCTTCACTAGATATTTCAGTCACCCAATTACAGTTACTGAAAAGACATTGCTGTCATTTTAATGAGCAGCTACCCAACACAAAGATGCATTGCCAAATTTCCCTGAGTTTGGTAGTTTTCACTCCCTCCCTGAAGTACCAAAGATAGGCCAAAAGTGGAGGCAGGACCAGGATAGACCTGCTGGTACTTCTAGGGGTGTTCAGGTGGGTTAGTTACAGGAGATCTCACACTCTCATCTCAAATACTCTTTAGATTTGCTATTGAGAGATGGGCAACAATAGATCATTTCTTTAGTCTCTGTGACTCATACTATTAGGCTGTCAAATTTCTCTCCAAGTTGGGGACAGAAGTCTAGTATTCCAGAAGATGGAGGAGTTTTATCTATCCTTAGTTACTGCAAGGACTTAGGACTTCTGGTTCTTTGCTTCTTTCTTCCTTTGACATATTACAGTTGTTGCACTTTGTCTTTTATTATAGATTTTAAGTTTATTTTGAGATCTAGACGGGGTTTTTTGGCTGATGATACATGCTAGTCTGCAATGCCAAGGTCCTGCAGACATGGAATTTGACAAGTAGAGTACGTGAAGCCCTTGCACTGGCAGAGGGACTCATTTTGCTGGGCTGTCTCTAGAACATGATCTCTTAGAACAAGAGATGAGAGATGATTGGACTACATATGTACTGTAATCTCATTTCAAGAGGTCCATGATTGTGTCTTAAGACATGTGTTAGTATGTCACCTACCAGAGGTGTTCAAAGGATCTTTTTCTGTTTTAGCAGAGACATAGCTTCCCACCCCCGACTGCGGGCAGTGAATTATCCAACAGTAGTTGTTCTTGTACTCATTCTAGGATCCTGGAGAATACCTGCTAAGCATTTGCACTCTGAAAATGAAGACATTAATGCAAAATATTTTTCAAGTCAACATCTCCTTTTAAAATGACAAGTTTGTACCCACAAAATATTTGCATTTGTAAACTATGTATCCTTCTAGATATGGTCCTATCCATAGATCAGATTGTTTAACTATCTTCATTCCTTGAATTCTTTTGAATGTAGTTTATATGAAAAAATATTACTTCTTCTGTGCAGGTATGATCATACTTGGAAAACTGAGAATACATAATAAATAAGTCTGAAAATAAATCTCTTAAATGATTATCTTAGATAGTGTGAAATTCATTAGTGAATAAGCAAGACATTACCTCTTGGTCCAAACTGCTGCATGTAGCAGTGGTTGCAGTAGGGTTTGTCATCATACTGTGAAAGAAAAACAAAGAAGACTTCAGTGACTGTGAAAGATTACTCTTGAGACACCATTTTCCCCACCATTACTATCAAACCAGGAAGTCTTTTTTTTTTGGAGTAGGTGGTGTGGTATAACTATACCTTGTATATAATGATATAACGTGGTATATCAAGACCTCAAGTTATTTTATTTTGCCTGTTCAAGGGAAAATCTTCCCTCTTCCTTATTCCAGCTGAGATTTACTGCAGAAATTCTTTGTTTATATGTGAAATGTATCAGGCCACTCTTGTTGAGAAGCATCAGAAATTGGTTTCACATCTTGAGCTAGATTCTAACTCCGGGCATGTCACATCACTACAATCAGCTGTGCATCTTGGTCTTGTTAAAGGTACCAGATCAAGCCAGGAAGACAGAGTTCATAATGAGGTAACTGTTCAAATGTCCAAGGATTAGGAAAAACTTCTTTACTGTTTCTGTGCTTTGCAGAGTACTTGAAAAGATTAACCAGAAAGGTTGTAGAGTCTCTGTCCTTGGACATATTGAAAAGACATCTGGACAGTCTTGGGCAAAGTGCTCTCTATGAGCCTGCTTGAGCAAGAAGGTGGACTAGGTGATCTCCGGAGTGCCTTCCAGTCTCAACCATCCTGTGATTTAATTGGGACAGTTAATTATGCTGAGGATTGCTCAAATAACGAATGACTAAACAATACTTAGGCATTTTTGGTATGTGTTTCAGACCTGGACAGGTGCTTCTCAATAACCATCAAGCAAAAGTTTAGCTCCAGCTGCGTAGATGCTCTGCAGTGTTTCCACTTATCTCATCAGTGAGGCAGAAGGACTCAAATACCCAGCATGCTGGCCTTTTAGGACACACTTGTTTTAGGAAAGGTGGAGTGGTAAGAGTGTATGGAAATGTGTGTGGTAACCTGTATCAGAAATGTCACAACATGTGTTAGAGCTCCTGATAGTCCAGTGTGTCAGCTTGGTGGTACAGGTGTATTGCTCTTCTCACTCATCCATCACTGGGTTGTCAGTGGTGAGCAGATACAGGTGCTGAGTCAGTCAACAGTGTGATAGATCACTTTAAAAACCTAGATTAGATATTCATAGGATGACAGAAACCGTGTAGTCACTGGGAATTTTAGCCTGTATGGGCATATGCTGAAAGTCCTATTCTACTGTAACACATCAGTGACTGTAGAAATTACACATTAACTGACTATGTTCCATACTCCTTCTGGAGTGCAAATGGTTCCAACACATTGCTTTTGTTATTCACCAACAGACTACATTAATGATCAATAAAATATATACTTTGTCCTTCTGACAAATATTCTTACTAAGTAAAATAATGAAAAAGATGCTTGAAATAGTCTTTTTTTCTTAAAAAAGAAGATAAAAGGTCAACATGTGTCAACACAACTACAAAGTTGTGTGTTTCAGGATAAGGTCTCTGACACCTTCTCCCACTGCATTCTGCCTAAAGAAGCTGGCCGCTCATGGATTAGACAGGGGTGCTTTTTGCTGGGTGAAAAACTGGCTAGGTGGCCAGGCCTAGAGAGTGGTAGTGAATGGAGTTATACCCAGCTGGTGACCTATCATGAGCGATGTTCCCCAGGGATCAGTGCTAGGACCTGTCCCCTTTAATAAATCTTTACCAATGATCTGGATAAGGAGATCGAGTTCACTCTAAGTAAATTTGCAGATGACACCAATCTGGGAGGAAAAGTAGTTCTGTTTGCGGGTAGGAAGGCTCTGCAGAGGGATTTAGACAAGCTGAATCGAAGGCCAGAGACCAGCTGTGTCAAGATCAACAAGGCCAAATGCCATGTTTTGCACTTGAATCACAACAAACCCATGCAGTGCTACAGAATTAGGGCAGAAAAGGATCTGGGAGGATGGGTTGACAGGTGGCGGATGAGGCCGCACTTCCAATATTGTCTTCAGTTTTGGGTCCCTCACTCCAAGAAAAATCTAGAACTGCTGGAGATTGTCTAAAGAAGAGCAACGAAGCTGGGGAAGGATCTGGAGTACAGACCTTACCAGGAGTAGCTAAGGGAGCTGGGGCTGGGATTGTTTAATGTGGAGAAGAGGAGGCCCGGGGGAGACTTTATTGCTCTCTGTAACTACCTGAAAGCATGTTGTAGGGAGGTGGGAGTCAATCTCTTCTCTGGAAGAGCTACGAATAGCATAAGAAGAAATGGCCTCAAGTTGAACCAGGGGAGGTTCAAGTTGGATATCAGGAAGAATTTCTACATGGCAAGAGTGGTAAAGCATTGGAAGAGGCTGCTCAGAGAAGTGGTAGAGTCACTGTCCCTGGCAGTGTTCAAGAATTGTGTAGATGTGGCACTTAGGCACCTGGGTTAGCAGGTATAGTGTTGAAGGGTTTACAGCTGGACTCAATGACCTCAAAGGTCTCTCCAACCATAATAATTCTATGATTCCATGGTTCTATTGATGTCATTGTTTTCAGATCTGTTTCACAAGACTTGACAGCTGGAAGGTCTTCAGTTGTTCTCTTCTAGAGAACAAACTTCGCAATAGACTTTTGACAATCCAGAGAACTGCAGCATTAAGAAATGAAAAAGAATGATATTGTGTGCCTGGTTCAAACTCCTGCCTCAAGTTTAGAATTATCTAATCACTGTGTGGATTCTTCTTGGACATATCGCCCCATCTGCAGACTAACTTTAGCACTGGTGTCTTCTAATAGCTCTGCTCTGTTCATCCTTCGAAAACAAGCACCATGTTCTTTCTTTTAATCCTTGTATCTCCTGGGAATGATTTAGTACTCTGCGTAACTGTCTTGTTCTCATCTCTCATAGATTTTATGAACAGTCTTCTATACCTATATGTCTCTCCATGCATATGTTGCGTGCCACTTAGTTGCCTCTTGTCCTGATGCAATCTTTGAAGTAACAGCAAGACTGCAATGCAGAGATCACACAATCACAGAATGGCTGAGATTGGAAGGGACCTCCAGAGATCATCTAGTCTCACTCCCTGCTCAAGCAGGGACAGCTAGAACACATGGCACAGGATCAAATCCAGGCAGGTTTTGAATATCTCCGAAGGAGGAGACTCCGCAACCTCTCTAGGCAACCTAACAGTAAGGAAGTTCTTCCTCACAGGCAGATAAAACTTCTTGTGTTGTAATTTGTACCCATTCTGCCTTGTTCCATTGCTGGCCACCACTGAAAAGTGTTCAGCCACATCCTCTTTACATTCTACTCTCAGGTACTTGTACATGTTGATAAGATCCCCTCTCAATCTTCTCTTCTCCAGACTAAACAGGCCCAGTTCACTTAGTCTTTCCTCATACGATAGATGCTCCAGTCTTTTAATCACTTGCGTCATTCTGCATGGGACCCTCTCTAGAAGTTCCACATCCCTCTTGCACTAGACAGCCCAGAAGATAAACTGCATGAAAACATGTTTCAGAATATGTTCAGAAAAAATATTTCAGAATACGTTCATGCAGAGAATAATCTGCAGAAAATAATCTGGGAGCCCTGAGATAATCTGCATGAATCAAGTATTGTAACTTTCATCATTTACCTGTCTAGCCCAAGGCTGACATGTAGCCAGCGAGCAAGTATGTATCCCCAGGGGGCTGAAGAGGTCAGAGCTCTCTGCAGAGACCCACCCAATCTCTCTGGCATATCCAAAGACTGAGAATTCCACTTCACAACAGCTATATTTTATGTAGGAGACCACAGAGAGGATGGTCGTCAGTAGCAACCATGATTCAGCAGATGGCCAGTCATGTAAAATTTTCTAGTGTTCTCTTCGTCCACCTGTTAAACTCCTACAGTATAGTTGTCCTATCATTTGAACATTGTCTCTGACCAACTGATTTTCCTCCTAGTTTTTTATCTTATTAATTTAAAGGTTTGCATACCTTTTGAAAAAAGATACCATGCCATAGTCAAAGAGCTATACTTCTGTGTTTCTTGTTATGCTAAAAGTTCATGGCATTTTCTGGACAGATGTATAATGAAAATGTTGCAATTTCATTCTTCCCGCTGACATTCAAGCAGCTAAATGTTATCCAAAGGATTGCAGTTTCTTGAACCGCAGTTATGTACTGCAGATCTCTTTCTGGAGGAAGTGAAGCAACACACTTTGTCAGAAGTATTTTGAAGAAATGGAGATCTGGTTAAAGCAAATGGAATGATTCTGATCGATTAAGATCTGTTAGAATGACGAACAGGCGTTAGGCCCAGCCACCTGATGAGAGAACCGTGACCCAGGGAAGTTTAAAGTCTGTTCTGGAAGACCGAGGCTGGTGCACTGTCAATAATGAGACAAAGCAAAGAGAAGAATGGTCAACAAAAACAGTTGTTTGAGAGAATCTGATAAACCAAGAGTCTCTTCCAGAGCAGGAAGGCATAGAAAATAAGCTATAAAGGAATTGTTTGTGAGATTACTGCTTATAATGGAAAAGATGAAGCTTTTACTTCCCAAAGGACAAAGACTTTGTGCAGCTAGCATTTCATCAGCTAATACAAACAGCAGGGAGGTCACAGACATGAAAACCTAAGAAAAAAACGCACAATTGCTTTATTCAAAGATGAAATCTTACACTCAAGAGTGAAGATTAGATGTGTAGTGGTGGTGGGAACTGTAGGAAATGACTTTATAATTAACTGTGGGAATTACTTTGTTCACAAAAAGACTAGGAAAACAGAAATTCAAATGTTCCTCAAATGAAACTAGGACTTAGCAGCAGGATTTCTACACTGTAAATGTAAAGCACAGATATAAAGGAGGAACTGCCAATGACATGTTGAGTTAGATATTACAAAATATATTGCAAAATATCTTAAAACTAATGGGAAGACATTCTTTAACCAAATAAATGAAAAAGAAGAATGAAGATAAGAGAAGAGACTAAATAAAGATTAGAAAGCTTAGTGGGATGTGAAACAACTCAGTGACTGTCTCTTCTGAAGTAAAGGATCTTCCATGTCCTTTTAGTCTTGATTTTCGGTGCTCTTCTCTACATCAGCA